CAAACTGTATTTTTCCTCAAAGCGTTGGTGTCGCCACCACTCACTGGATTAATAAGTCTGCATAGGCCCCTAATTGCAATGCTCTTTTTTTGTTTTGCAGGTGATTCTGATGCTGACCAAACTATTTGACTTCAACCTCAACAGCGTGACCGAGAGTTCATTATGGAGGTAAGCTTATCACGCTACATGAGCTCATGACATTTTCAGAAAAGCCTCAAGCAGAGCGGAGCCTGACACAACAAATTGGTCAAAGGGGACCGAACGCGGTTCTATATACTTCAGATGTTTTTAATACCGGGGTTTGAGCTGCTCCCAGCTCTGTTCGCAGGAATAAGTGAAACCAATTTTCACAAAGTTCTCATAATGTGAATTAATGAAACATTCACAGCCTGAAAAAAAAGGAAAAGGAAAGAAAGATCTGTTAATTGGCGAGCCTTAACAGCGATGTCCTCGGTTGGTTTTAATGTCTGTGGGCATCAGAAATCCCTCACATGAAAGTCACTAATCACTGCCAGTGGAGCTGGTGGTCTTATCCGGCAAATTACCTCGACCGGCCTTGTTACAAGTGTAGCCTAACTTAAATCACTAGCCTCATTTCAGACTCTCTGATGTAATATTTGCAGATGCCTTTTAGGAAATAGGGTGTATATATCAATGTCTGAAAAAGAATCTCAACAGTCAATTTACAAATTCAGAAGCTGGGACAGAAGCAGGTCTTTGTTTGGAGAGAATTTTGACAGTTAATAGCATGAAAACAAAAATGAAGGAGTCTCAGACTAGATGGAAACCAATTTTCTGAAGTTTGCAGAAAACTGAAAGTAATTGCTCCATAACTCGTGCTGCACAAACAAGAATAATAATCAGAGGTTTTCAGTGCATGGCATCTCTTCTTTTGATTTTTTACTTTATTTGAAAGGAAAAAGATTGTGTAAGATCCCTGAAACTGAACTGCAACAATTAAATGGCAACCAAAGCTTCAATTTAAATCACACACAGAAAAAAGCATCATTTTACAGTTTCACCTGTGTGCAAAGATCCAACAGTAGCTTGACGGTTACTGTGCTGGATTCCCAGCTCTGCTGTTGAGCTTTATTCCAAACCACAGAACTGATTTGAAATTCCAGTGGCGATAAGAGAGACTGCGTGTCAGACAGAATTACGAGGGAGACGTGCACAAAACATCCAGAGTATTTCCATTTGATGTAGTGTTGCAGCCATAAAAATATAGCAGCGTGGGTTTGAATGTTTAACTTCATGTAGCTTCAGCAAAGTGTTGAAACAAGCTGATCCTTGTGTTGCGATGATACCGAGTGTCAGCAAGTGTCAGAGTAAACACAGATTCTTTCTCTGTGTAATGTTAAAGAAACAATCAAGTGTTCTGTATGTTAGTTCCACTAAATACTGTGAATTAAAGCATAAAGCATCGAGAGCTTGTTCACTGCATGTGATGACAGGAAACGCCACCCTGCACCTTTCACTCAGTTCTTTAAAGAATATCAAACTTTAAAACTCTCAGAAAAGTATACTGAGTCATAAAGGTTAGGCTGATTCGAGATGGTACATCTAAATTTGATTTTGTGGGTCTGTTCATTAAATTTCACACTTCCAAGGTTATTTAAAAATCAAACAAACAAAAACCCTGAACAGACTTTGGTATGTTGGTGCAGTTTTTACCTTCTGTGCTTTCAAAACCTCACTTTGAGTCATCTACATAAAGTCAGGTAAACACAAGAACTGACTAATACTCATTTTTCATGATACACCACAGACCAGCTTGCGCAGTAAATTAAAGCAATTGGATTACTATAGTTTGTCTAGAGTATATAAATCAGCAGCACACACTTTAAAAATGCCTACCTGGTTAAACTGAAATCTGCATGACAAATTTGGAAATCACTACAATCTACAGAGCAATTCCAGCTGGAAAGCATCTGATATGCTTTCACGTTTTCAGCATGGCAGTGATCCCAAACACACACAATGTGCCTTGGTGGTATGTTTTGGGTCA